TGAAATTTTGAATCAACATATTTTTCCTTTAAAATGTTACATTTACTCAGATTAAACTTTTGATCTGTCATCTATGTTATATTACGAATAAAATATTGACATTTGCCATCTCCACATCATTGCATTCAGTTTTTATTCACAATTTGTTTAGTGTCCCAACTTTTTTGGAATCCGGTTTGTACGTTCTGCCTTTGACAGATGTAAAAACGTAAATAAAATTATACCGGTAATGTTATTTAATCTTTTTATTTCAAAACACTGTTTATAATGTGGCTGCCATACTAGTTAAAAATATCAAAAATATCCACCACAATCTTGTGCAGAGCAAAGAACATGAAAATTTCTTGATGTAAGTTTATAATCCTTCAGAAGGAAGATATACATTTTCTGCACCATAATCAGAATTTAATCTTTCTTTATCTGGACCCTTAAAAAGCTAACAGTTTGAATAGTAAATATTCAAAGTATGTCAGTCATGGCTTGTTAAATACCTTAGTTGTGTTTTCAGTTCATTAAAGCGCGGCCTCTTGCTGGGATCGTACGACCAACATTTTGTCATCAAGCTGTAGAGAGTGGGAGGGCACTGAGGGGGCATGGCAAGCCGCTCGCCGTTCTCAATTCTGCCAATAACGTCGTTGTTCTTCACACCCTGGAAGGGTTTGATGCCATACATCAGAATCTCCCACATGCAGACGCCTATAAACAGAAGAGCAACATAAGTAAAAATTTCTATCTCAAGGCAGGCTGCTCAAGTTCAGAAAAAGAGTGAACAAGTTTAATGTGCACAACAATAAACTGGGTTTAAAAAAAGCTCAAGTTTACCAAACATCCAGACATCGCTAGCTGATGTAAATCGTCTGAAGTTGATGGATTCTGGAGCCATCCATTTGATAGGTAATTTACCTTTCGATGCTAGGAAACAGGAATTAAAGAAACAAGTCACACTTTACTGATCAGTTTCAATCACAGTCTTGTGATCTGACCGTGTCGGCCATGGGACAAATCCTGCACTGGGCTTGTTTTTTGAGTTTGTGGCAGCTCACTGGGGTCAAACAAAATTCACTTAATTTAGATGCAGGATGGTGTTAGGCATCTATGCAAAGTTCCCATAAAAATATCTGCTCTGGAATTAGCAATTAAGCTAATAATTTGCAGCATATGAAATATACAGAACTTGCATAAATAACCTGAAAAAATACAAACAAGCTTTCATGACAGGAACAATCTCTGTGTTTTCCAATTTCAAATGTTACCAATCCACTATTATACAATTTTGTATAACTGGTTATTTGCTCTCTCATGTATGAGATGGTATGACTGTTAATCACAGTGAGTACATTACCATCACTAGTCTGACCAGTTCTGTTGGCTCTTTCTCTTCTGATTTGATTACCAGTAGGTCCAACTTGTAAGTCAAGGCATACATACCACATGAATCCCATTTCAATTATGATGACAGTCTTAATGAAGTAATTTCTGTGCATAAAATAAATAATATAAACCATAAAATAAAAGTTGAAAATAAGAAATTAAGTCCGATTTGGTATTCTAATGGAACAGAGAAATTAATATTTTAACTGTTGCTAGTCTAAGCAAGACTTCATTTGAGCAAGTTTTTAATCCAGGAAACTTTATAGAAACCTTTAGATCTATGGTCATACCACATTAGGTGCTTTCTAGCTCACCTGACGTGCATTTGCAATGAGACAGTCCTTCCCTAACTCAATTCTTTTAAGCGATTTGCTGTAATCCTCTTACCAGTGCACATTATGCACTCTTCAAGCAACGCATGGCTGTTTTGTCTGAGCAGCTGCTGTAACGTGCGCTTATAGCAGAGCCTTTGATGTGCAAAGTCATAAACACTAGCTGATTCTTTGCAACGTTCAAAGAAGTGAGTGGCCATAGATGGTTGTAAACCATCTAAGTGTTTCCTTTTTACATACACATAACTTGATTTATGACAAACTTCTCTCAGAAACATGAATTAAATCATGTTTTTGGTTCAGGAATTACTGGTACATGAACAACATATTTAATAAAAACTGCCATAGTGGAAATCTGAGCTATTTGATTGGTTGGTTCATTCTTGCTACCTACTGCACAGCTACAGAAGTTTTTTGTTTGCTTGTTGCCATCTGTAAGCCAAATTTAGAACTAAGGTTTAATTACAGTAGTTTATATTTAAGCTCTTCTTATCAAATTAGGAAACTTTTATTGTGGGAACTTATAGAAATTTGCCACAGAGTGATATTTTCAACAAAATAAAACAAAATAAAATTGTCCCTCAATGGTTGCTACAGAGTAATAAGATACTAGTTTTGTCCCATGACCTATTCAGTATTTAGTTACCTTTATAATACGAGCTATCCTCCATGTATCGAGACAGTCCAAAGTCTCCCAACTTTACACAATCAACTGTAGACACCAAAACATTTCTTGCTGCAATGTCCCTGAAGAAAGCAAAATAAATTAAAAAGAATTAATGAAGAACAAGGGACACATTGTTTTGTGATGTTAGGTTGAAGTACTTCAGGATGTTTTTATACCTGTGTACAAAGCGTTTACTCTCCAGATATGCCAGTGCTGTGCTGAGCTGATAAGAGTACAAGATGAGAGAAGCCAGATCTAAACTGTACTTTCTAACCTGGAGAAACGACCGTAACTATGGACACAAAAGAGGGACAAAAAGACAGAAAAAATATTACTGTTGATTGAACAATAATGTGAATTTAAGATAAAAAGAAAAAAAAACAAGAAGAATAAAAACAAACAACATTTGAGTGTACCAAATGAAAAAATAAAGAGCAAAGGTTGACAAAGAAATTAAAATAAAGCTGCAAATCCAAAAGGAACATTGTGAGTGCAACAACATGCACATAGCAGTATTAAATGAGCAACAGAAACAAAAAATAAGATACAAATGACCAATTACTGTCTTAATGTTAAAACTTCCTGTCTTTTCTTAGTATTCACATCAGCAATTTATTAAAACATAGAAATAAAATCAATATACAATGTAAAAACAGACTTTAAAAATGTATGGCTTTGAAAATGAATATCAGCTGTGATTCTTTTTATCGATCAAACTTGATATCACTTTAAAATATTATTTTGTCTTCACTCTTTTTCAAGAAAATTTATGCGAGCTTCTTGAAAGACATTTCAAAGTCGTTGTTTTTTAAAATTAAGTACTAGATGTCTTCAGGCTGTAAATATATTGTCAAATTATATATTTTATGCATAGATTGCCATTTGATTTCTTGTCAAACTGTAATCTTTAGCATTGTTTTTTTTATCTCATTAAAGAATAATAAACAAACTGCAGTTCTATTCTACAGAAAACAGCAAGTGACAAAGTGCCTTAAGATAAAAAGTATTTTTTTAACTAAATACAATATTTAAAATGAATCAATAAAATATTAAGTTTTTTGACAAGTTGCCTGTATGCATAACATAAGTTTATCCCTATAGTAATTATGCTGCCTTTCTTATTCTTGAATTATATACGGTAATAGTACAACTGAATATCTGAGGCCATGCATTGCAAATTAGCCAAAGTTATACATGTGTACAGTATTTAACACTTGTCCCTATATAAATAACAAAATATATATTTATAAAAACATTCCTCTGAAAAATGGAACAATGAAAGGAGTAGATTAAAGATGAGATATAAAGTGTCCAATATCTAAAAAAATAAACGTGCAGAACTTTTGTTCAAAACCAGGCTGGCCCCATGGAGACAAATTTTAATGAAATAACTATTTATTTATTTATTTATTTATTTATTTATCTATGTTTTTGCAGAGTAACGATAACTATAACCCAAAATTACTTTAGGTAAATATTTAGGAATACAAAGGTCCAACTTAGAAATGAAAAAAGTGAAGAAAAAAATAAACATGTTTTTGATTTAAAAAAAAAAGTCATTTTATTTGTGTGTCCCTAAATCCAAATTTAAACCTAAATATATAGTTTAAGAACGGACAGACACACTGAATTACTGATAAGAAAATGGTTAAAACTTTGTGCCTTTCCATAATTTGTTTAATATTTAAGAGGTTTGGAAAACGTTGAGTTAACTAACATATCCCAGGTTCTTTGATAACATAGTGAGGTGTTTGATTATGGGAAACGCTCCAGTGTGACCAACTACAGAAGCTCCAAAGACATCACATCTGTCTGAGACAGACAGGTTGAGCTGTGCTCAGGGCTTCGCCCCCTCATGATACCACGGTCAACTGACCACCTCCTACTCATTCTAGAACGTCTAAAAAAGTTGAGTCAGGTCCTCTGGATGGATTCTTCAGAACCTAAGATGAAGAGTCCGTCCAGAGGACCTGACTCCACCTTGTTAGATTTATTTACCTGGATTATTGAGCATACATCAGGTCATTCTAGGATGGTTTCTTTTTGTGTCCATGCAAGAGGGAAGTGTTGAACGAAACACTTCATTCTGTTATCAAAGAACAAGGCTTATGTTAAGTAACCTAATGTTCTTTTTATAAATTTGTTCGGTGTTTCATTATGGGAGGTATAGTGCACTCGCGTATTGCATGAAAGCCCCAAAGTCAACAGATATCCTGAAAAAAGGGCTCTGGAGCTTTGGCGTCCAATACAGTGTGAGGTAGGGATGGCTGAGCCATATTCAGACTGTAAAAGTAAACAAATGAGTGAGGTGAGGCCCAGCTAGCTGCAGCACACAAATATCCTGGACAGATATCCCTCAAAACAGGGCCCATGATGTGGTCATGCTTCTGGTAGAATGGGCTTTCAGATCAATCGGGGCTCTGTACCCCTACACCTGTAACAGAGACTAATTGTCTCCACAATCCAGTGTGCCAGTCTCTGGCGTGAATCTGGAATGTGTTTATGAGCTGTAGTCCATGAAACAAACAGCTGGTCTGACTTCCTGAAGCCAGCTATCCTGTCAACATATGCTTTCAGCATTTGCACGGAGCATAGAGAATTATTACTTTGCCCCTTTTCACAAGAGAATGGCAGTGGGTGGAAAGCTAACAGCTCCACTGAACAACAACTGTACACAGAATCCATCTCCTTGGGCACAAATGCTGGATTGGGCCTCAGACGCACCTTAGAGAGCCCAGGTGCCCACTGCAAACAAAAATGACTGATGGATAAAGCAAGTAAATCACTCACCCTTTTAGCTGTAGTTCAAGCTAAAAGCAGAACAGTCTTAAAACATAGAAAAGTCATCCCTGTTCCATCCACGGGTTCAGAGGGCTTCCTACATCAATGGTGCTAGAGGCAAAGAGACTGGCAGCTTAAGTTATGCTCACTTCATGAAGCGACACACTACTAGAGGGTGTTGTCCAACACATTTGTCGACAAATCCAAGGTGACAAGCAGAAATTGCTGCCAAACGTGCAAACGTTACAAAAGTGTAAGCCTTCCCTTTTTCCAGCAGACTCTGAAGAAAACAAAAAGCATCCAGGAGAGAGCACTGAAAAAGAATGATGTGCCTCTCCCCACACCATTTTTCAAAAACTCACCACTTACCATCATAACAAAGATAGCGAGTAGAGGAGGCCTTTGGATTTTGAATTGTGTCAATGACCTCTGGGGAGGAGGCAAGCCTCATCTAAATTCCAACTTTCACACGCTATGCGGTCTAGGTGGGGGTGATAATTTCTCTCCTGGCTTGGGACAGAAGATCCCTGTGAGAATGAAGAGGCCATGGTTCCTCTGACAGCATCTGGATGATTTCTGCCACCCAGAGCTTGGATGGCCACCACGAGGCCACCAAAATCCAAGACCAGCCCTGTTCTCTTACTTTACCCAGTGAAAGAGAAATCAAGCTGAGGCGGAAACACATACAGCAGTATGTGGCCAGAGGTGAGCCAGAGCATCCATCTCCAGTGTAGCATCGGAGTATGACAGGGAGAAAATCAGCAGGGAGTGGGTGTTTTCCTATGAGGCGAAAAAATTTACGGCAGCCCTGTCGTAACTCTGCTAGATCTGCTCCACCACTTGAGGATGGAGTTACCACTCCCCATAAAGAGGGTTGCCCCTGGACAAAAGATCTGCTTCTCTGTTCAAGCTCCTCACCATATGAGTTACCCTCACTGACAGGCGTCTGGTGCTGCTCCATAGGATTAACTCCTAGGCCAGTCTGTGTACCTGCATGGATTGTGCACCACCTTTGTTCCAATTCATTCAACCTTTATTTATACAGGTTAGTCTCATTGAGCCTCGAGGACTCAATTACGAGAAAGACACGTATGCTTAGATGGTTGAGATGTCAGATGTCTCTTACCCTCATCTAGATCTTGTTCTTTCCCTTCTGCATCCTGAGTTGCAGGACAGGGGATGCTCAATTTTGAAGCTGCTTGTCTGCAGACAACATACAGATCACCATCCACCAGAGATGCTGGGCGACCGCTCGGTGGACTTGAATGTGGAGCCAAGAAAGTGGAGTCATCTTCCTCTTTCTCCATCTCATCCATGTCAAGGAGGTCGGAGTTCGCATCAGCATCTGCCTCCTCCTGACTCGTTTCAAATTCCCCGTTGTCGAATATTGATGGCATGACCGGGCACCTCTCTTACATCATGTCCGCCCAGCTCGTGGTGGCTTGTGGTTGATAGCCATCATCTGTTACCACAATTAAAGACAGGCACGAGTCCTGACTATTCACGACTGCAACTCAGCCTCCTTTCTAGGATTTTTACCAACATGGAGAAGTGCAGCCACACCTTTGGGTTCATCAGTGACGCTTGCACATGTTTGGCACCAATGCATGCAATGCACATTGAGTGAGGGTACCTACCCAGCATGGAGGCCCTCCATGAACATGACGTGGAGCATGGGCAAGATACAGCCTCCTTTATTAGCTCATTGTGACACGTATGCTGTATGTCGCTAACACAAGCAGCAGGGTTAAACTGAGCTAAGAGCTTTGGATAAAGTAGCTTGTCATAACAAGTTAGCTGGAAACAAACCTTAAAGCTAGCAAGCTAATGCTTTATCAAAGGAATGATAGCTCGCCTTGACGCGTTGGCTTGAGTCACACCAGCAACTGCTCAGTTACGTAGAACCGAGCTGAGCGACAGAGAGAACAGCTCACCATGATGCGGTCACTGCTCCTAACTGTAAAAAAAGATAATTCTCACGAAGCACCAAATTAAGGCCCCTGCATACTAAATCCAAAGCGATAAAATGAAATCGTCTCTCATTGACAACGTTGTGTGACGAAAATTGCGTCATTTTGTTCTCAGAGTATCTTCGCCCGCCCCTTCTTGAACAAAAGCCCGGGCCGAACTTTGCCGAACTGCTCTGAGGGAGCTTAGTTGTAGTTTCTCATGAGAAGAAAGCGAGAATGAGAAGTAGGTGATAGTTTAACCATAGTATCATGATGGGGGCGAAGCTCTGATTACTGCTCAACCGGTCTGTCTTAGACAGACGTGATGTCATTGGAGCTGCCGTTTCCCATAATGAAACACCGAACAAAGTTAGAAAAAGAAATAAAGTTCATTAGTTACTGTATTTTTTTTTAGAAAATTCTATAAATTATAAACACACACATGCCTCAAAATCACCATCTAATGCATGTTTCTATTTTAATTCTTAGCATTGTACCTCCCCAAGAGTGCAGAGCTCCATGATGATCCACACTGGATTCTCTGTGATGACTCCCATCAGCTTCACTATATGAGGATGGTCGAACTGGCGCATGGTCACTGCAGGAGTAAAAATAAAGAGGTTCACACAAATCAAAAGTGGTGAGAACATTCCCCTTCTGAATAAAATTCTTAATTACAAATATATTTTTTTCTTTTCTGTGAAGGCAAAGTGCTCACACAAAGACCTTACATGCTTCCTGTAGGAATTTTTCCCTGACGCTGTCTGACGTTGAGTTTTTGCACGTCTTCACTGCGACAGACAGAGCTGGATTGTCCTGCAGGAAACAAATACATCACCTGTCTGTTTTCAATTAAAATGAAAACAAAAAAAATAGTAACTCAACAAACACAAAATAATGCTTTAAGGTATGGGATATATTAAAAATGATTGTTTAGAAATATATAGTCATATTTTATCAATACTGTAACAGAGCAATAAGCTGTTCTCTTTATCTTATTTTGGTACAGCTTTATTGTTAAACAGGTTTATTAGAAACTGTTGTTGTGATATAAGTTTGTGGACAATCTTATTCAGTCTTAAAACAATTGTACTGGGAGACGGTACAAATAAGACAAATGTTGCAGATTTCTTTGATTCTATTCTTTAGTTTCTTTATTAAAAGTCAGAATCAGGGACATCAGGGTTAGAAGAAAGAAGTTGCATGCGATATGAGACTGAAGGTACGAACTGGGCTGATGTAGACTCCTTGGTGGACATCTCCAAACTGGCCCTCCCCAATGCAACGTCCCAACTCTATTCGATCCCGTTGTATCTCATAATCTTGTGCTATATACATGAAAGACGGAGACATTTACACACAAACCGATATGGACACAAAAATGAGAACACATTAAGGAGATGGATCAACAACACACGTACTGTACATCCACTCATAAGCTTTGCACTTTCCAAGCTTGTTAGAGCACTTTACAGTGTGCCTGTGTTTATTTCTGCATCAAAGGCAAAACAAACGGTCAAATAAATTATTAGAATAATTATCTCTCCACAGTGACATGGAATTTGCACCAATGTGATGATGTATTATTATATATTGAGTTTTGATCTCTTCCTCTAACAAGCTTGGCTTTATTGCAGCTTTGTCAACAGCATGCAATGACAGCGTCAGCAAACCACAGCATATAACACATAACACGGGCAAACAGCCAATAATACTAAGTAAACATAAATTATTATGTTGATTCATAAGTAGGACGGATAAAGTCAGGTGAATTTTAAAAGTGATTCATCACGGTGGTAACATTCACAGGCTAAAATAAAACCTGTGTTACAAATGATTTTAAAACAATGTTGGTCATTGTTCTTTCAGTTTGGAGTCAAAAGAAACATTTTAAATATTGCATTTCTCCAAAGAATGAAAATCAAAAGGTCTGAGAAACACAAGACTTTTGAAAGCTGTTAGTTTGGTTTGCTTGACACTGTTGCTCTGACTTTGTGAAAATAATGAGCACGTGAACATCTGTTAGTAGAAATACATTTTAGACATTGACTTTTAAAAAATCATTTCTGCTGTGTCGAGCACGTGAGCATCTTTTAAACTATATAAGGCAGGAAAATTACTGGAGTGAAGGCAGTGTAAATGTGGTAATATATATTGTAGCATAAACAAATTCAAGACTTGACCATATTTGTGCCCTTTCTCTAAGTGTCACACATGTAGTCCGAACTTTAAGAAAATTTGCTGTTATTATTAAATTATGATGTAAACCACAATTTTTGTTAGTGGTTTGTGTTGTACAAATTAAAATATATAAATATCTGTAGCTATCTAAAACCTTCCTCTTACTTTAGGGTGCAATTACAGGAACATGCAATGAGTAACCTCGTCGAGTTAGATTAAATGAAAACAAAAACAAAATAAAAATTCAAGTTCTGAATCTAGCATCTGTTCAGAAAAAAACGACAGCACACCAAACATCAGAAAGAGGGTCAGGGGGCAAATTAACAAGACACAGACACAGGAAAACTTCAAATAGTACTATTACAGTTGCAAGCAAACATAAAAAGGGTCACAACAATCACTAAATCAAAGTATCACGTCCATTACCTTGATCTAGTCCATAGTACTCTGGGAGAAGGGGTTAGTGATAAAAGACAGAAATAACTAGCTTTGAGTACAGAGAGCTGCAGGTTGTTAGGGCGGTCTTTGATAAATATATCATTATAAACGTGACCCAAAGCAGAAGCACATACATTTTTCTGCTTAAAAAATATTTAACTAGGGAATTATCAAAAATGTTCTAAATTCAAATGTGACAGGAAAGCAAACGAATACACTCTTTAGGTTGCTTCTTGCTCAAACAGTTTGGAACAGGTGTGCTTTACAGTGGCAACTCAACCCATAATATTTAGGATGCATAGATTTGAAAGTAGACTGCAACAAAGCTACAAACTCGCATCCAAATCTTACAGAAGATTGCAAATAATCTTGTGTAACAGACTAATGAATATGTATTTATTTTGGAGTACTAATTATATACAAGTTTATTAGTTTTAAAGAAATTTGTTTATGTTTACAAGTCCAAGTCCAAAGAGGACTGACTTTAAATCATACATGGTCAAAAGGAACAGCCATGGTTGGATTGTGTTGATGTGCTAACATCCAGACATTTTGTGGCAGTTTTAGTGGGAAATTCTACTAAAAAACTGTAAAACACTCTCACCTAACATGCAGAGACTTTCTCAGATATTATATTAAAATGATAGTTCAGATAGTTGACAGCAAGAAGTGGAACATTTATGAATACAGTAATCAAACATGTTGTAGGTATCTTTTTGAACAACCTAAGCTTGAAATTCATTATGAGCAAACTGACAAGCTAACAGCTAGACCAAGAACAAAATGTTTGAAATGCACTTCTTTTTGGAAACAGTCATACCTCTACTGCACATTTACAACTGGTTCAAAAGGCTGCAGCCCGATTTTTAACTGGTACAGTCAAAAGAGAGCGCATTACTCCAGTTCTGGACTCCCTGCACTGGCTCCCGGTTCACTTTCAAATTCATTTTAAAATCCTTCTGCAAGTTTTTAAGTCTCTGAACAGCTCTTCCATTCTTATCTTGCTGATCTGCTGCAGCCATATGTCCCACATCGCTCTCTGAGGTCAGCAGACCAGATGCTTTTATTGGTTCCAGGCACTCGTTTTAAGCTCAGAGGTGACGGGGTCTGTTGCAGGTTCAACACTGTGGACTGAGTTACCACTGCATGTCAGGCAGGCTCCATCTCTCACGGTTTTTAAGTCTCATTTAAAAACACACTTTTATTCCTTGGTTTTTGATACTGTGTGAGCTGATTTTAACTTGTCTGTATTCTATAATGTTAGACATTTACAGTAGTTCTTATCGTTACCTCTGTGAATCTATGTACTTTTTGCTATGTCCTTTGCTCGTTTGTTTTCGTTGTACAGCACTTCGGTTGGCCTTGTTGCTGTTTTTAGTGTTTTATAAATAAAATGGTATGGTATGGTATGGTAAAATGGACTGCTGCTGAATTAAAACAACTCTAACCTGAAATAGATTTATTCAGAAAAACTATTTATTCAAATTGAAGCTTTTGAAGCAGTTCAAAAAGACAAGTACAACAAGTAAGGTACTAAATGTACATAACATTTCCACAGAAACGCCGCTTTGATGTATCTGAGTAAACTCTGCGACTAAAACCTCAATTAGAAGTGAACCACAAAGAGTTTAGCATTAAAACTGTCTACAATAACTCAGACAATAAGCAGTTAACATGTCAAGAATTTGAGGAAGCTGTGGGTCTTGCCTAATCTTGTGGCAGCCCACAGAAATAAATACAGCGTACAGGGCTAACGTGTGGGGCTTCCCCCTCTAGTAGACAGCATGTGACTCTGGAAAATGTAGTTTCATTTAAAGGTTCCTCATCCTTCTATGTGATTGTTTTAAAACTGTCTGAATTATTACTGATGTTAAATTTGTCTTGCAAGTCTTGCATGTAGCTTTATTTTAATTCAAAGAGATTCTTTTCATTTCTATTATGATAGAATTAACCATAAGCTAATATAAAAGTTAAACAAATTAAACCAAAATAATTTTCAAACTGGAATTGTTGCTTATGCTACAATAAGAGTGTCCGCACTACACAGTGGCTGATTTTGGATGAGACACGCCTCTCAAGACACATAAATACGAGTACCACACGTTTGTCTCTGTAATCCTCTACATGCTGTAACAACAGCTTTTCTACCTGCACACACTCAGAAACATTATTATATAACTCCACTGATCAACAGAAGCACCTGCTTGTCATGTTAGCAGCACTTTAGTGTGAACATGTGCAAACTTACTTGAAGGCATAGTGTACGTGTCCTCCTCATCTATGATCTCAGCATAATCGTCTGTTTCTGCAGCGATAGAGAACAGTCATTAGAAAAAGCAAAGAAATGTTATCCCTCTGTGGACACATAGAAGTGACAACAAGGTGAATCAAAAAACATCTTTGACAAAGCACAAATCAAAGATGCACCGTTATATTGTAGCTTCTAAAATTGTCTCTTTACATGGACCATTTGCTATCGACGCACATCGCCGCATGCAATTACAGAATTTAGGTTTAAAAGGGTGCAAGGTACAACAAAAACACATTGTCATCGTGAATACCTTTCTAAAAAAACGTAACCATAACCAATTCCAAACAAGAACACAACAGTTATAATGTTCATGGACTACTGCACAGATGCACACAAAGAATGACTCTGAAGCTGTGCAATAACAACGGAAACAGACGGAGAGATACAGACAGGAAGAAAGGGGAGGGACGGAAAAGTTTTTTTTTTCCCCCTCAGACAAAAAAACTGAAGAAAAACAGCTTTAGTCATGGGTCGTAGAAAAAATAAAATAAAAAACAGGCAGATAAAGAAAGAGAGATACCAAGATTCTGTGCACGTGTACGATATGCCAACTGCCAAAATATTTATATATGTATTGATCAAAAAGATATAGATTAGAGAATGTGTTTTACCGTCACCACTAATGTGACCTGCAGACGCCCCATGCAGCATGAAAAACAGTGGACAAAAAATGGAAACAAACATCAGTTTAGCCCGTAATTATTAAAAAAATTAAAAGGTTCACATGTGGGCGGCTGTGGCTGAGTGGTTAGAGCAGTCGACCTCCAATGCAAGAGCTGGGGGTTCGATTCCACCAGCAGTCACATGCTGAAGTGTCCCTGGGCAAGACACTGAACCCCTCATTGCCTCTGATGTGTGTCCCATCAGTGTATGAATGTGATAAAACACTGAATATTCTTTGTATAGATCTAGTAGAGTGCTGTATGAATGGATAAATGAGGACACAGATTGTGTTGTAAAGTGCTTTGAGTATCTTGATAAGATAGAAAGACACTATATATGCTATATATGGGGGAGTGGTGGCGCAGAGGTTAGAGAGGTGGGCTTGTGATCCGAAGATCGCCGGTTCACGCCCCGGCCCCGACAACATCAAAATTGTGGGTGGGGTAGGTGAAACACCCACACTTGCCCCCACCCTCATTCGCCCCACTCTGGGCCCATGAGCAAGGCCCTTAACCCCCACCATGTGCTCCCTAAACAGGTCTCTCTTGAAAATGAGTTCTCGTGGCTCAATGAGACTAACCTGTATAAAAAAAGAAAAAGAAATATAAGTGCAGTCCATTTAACATATATTATTTAGCAGTTTGCTAAAGTTTTCAACTTGCTTTCACTTCACTTTCTTGGAGGTAATGAGGGCCAAACTTTTTCAAATCAGCCTTTATTTAGACATATACATCACACTGAGCTTCGAAAACTCATTTACAAGTGAGAACTGTTCAGACAGACAAACAGAGGCTCAGAGGGGACAGATCTTTTTCTGTAGCCGCTCCAAGATTATGGAACGATCTCCCTCTTCCCATCAGACGAGCCTCTTCACTGTCCTTTTTTAAAACTCTTAAAAACACATTTTTATTCCATGGTTTCTTCAGGCACAGCTTGAGACTTGCACAGCAGTTTTTATTGTTTGTAGAGGTTTTACTGTTTTATTCTTTTTATGTGCATTGTGTATTGCTTTTGTGCTGCTATTGCTTAGTGCATTTTTATTAATGTTTTTCTTACTTCATATCTTAGATCTTATAACTGTTTTTTTTACATTTTATACTTTTGTTGGATGTAACTGGGACCCTGTGTACACAATTTTGTTCCACCACATGTACCACATGTGGCGAAATGACAAATAATCTTGAAATGTCCATGATTTTACATGTACAGCACTTTGTTGCAGCTGTGGTTATTTTAAAGGGCTTTATAAACAAAGTTTAAACATTAAAAGTAATAAGATGTGAGTCAGTCAGAGCTCAGCAGACTGACAGAGACAGTAACAGTGACTAAAGCTTTTCACAGGGACGCCTGGCGAGACAAGAACTCTTCACTGTGCACACTGGTGAGGGTTTATATGAGAAACTACACTGAAATATCTACAAACTCTTTATCCAACCTCTGTCACAGTCATGACATTCATTGGAGTCAGTCTCCCCACCATCACAGACATTTACACCTCTAGATGCAGGAAGAGGGCCACCTGCATCATGAAGGACCCCACTCACCCAGCACACACACTTTTTGCCCCGCTCCCCTCAGGAAGGAGGTTGAGGAGCATTAAGTGTAGAACCACTAGACTGAGGAACAGCTTCTACCCTGAGGCTGTTAGACTCATGAATCTCTAACCAGAATAATCACTGTGAAAAATCACATCATGTTGCTGCTGATCTGTTTCATGTTGATGTGTTCATTCGTGCTCATCTGCTCACACAGACTCATGTTTGTACCACATGTGGTGGAATGATAATAAAGAATCTCTGACTCTGACATTCAGAGCAGAGGACCCAGAAGCAGAAGAAGACATTTATACATACCTGACACACAAACGGCTCGCGTTCGTACTCCATCCATTCGTTTTTCCATCCGCTTTTCATGATTCAAAACTCTGCAACAGACGCACACAAAACACAGCTGTAGCTCACTTTACCTGAAGAAATCTCCACCCACGTGCAGTCAATACAGTAGTCCCTCGTTTATTGCGGGGGTTTCCGTTCTCAGCTCCCCGGCACGATAAGTGAAAAACCGCAAAGTAGGAACAGTAGTATAAAGGAGTTTTAAACCCTTCCTACAGTCTTGCAATATTCTAAACCATGTTTATAAACTCTAAATGCTCTAAAAGAGCACAGCATGTCATGATCTCAGCTCTCTGCCTCCGGCTGCTCTCTGCTACATGCCAGTGCTCTCGGCCACACCCACTTCTCCGCTTCTCTCTGTACATGTGGGCTGCACACAGGTGCAGAGGTGCTCAATAATTTAATTTATATATATTTTTTTTAAATCCATACCGATCGTGCGGCTCATCCATCAATCTGCCAAGTGTGTCATGTCCGATCTTACTTTGAAAAACCACGAAAGAGTAATAAGTCTGCGAAAGTCGAACTGCAAAGTAGTGGGGGACTACTGTAGTGTGGTTTATGGGAGCTAAAATCTGAAACCGTTTTGAAGATAAATGAGTGAATATACTGCGTGTGTGTATTTATATATATATATATAAACACAGATGATTAAATGAGCAGCACTAAACTAAACTAAGGTGATAATATGAATTTGAGACAGAGACTAAAACTGTAGGAATAAGTGGAGGATGATGTGCTGATCCAACAAATGGACACAGTTTTTTTTTTTATCAATTTCCAGACATTTCATTACAACCTCTTCAAGTTAATTTATTTTAAAGTTGCAAATGTTTTCACGATCAAACAATAGAAATTAATTTTCTTACTTTGGTAAAGAAGGAAGCGCTCTGTCACCATCTGCAGAGACAAAAGTGAGTTTATGAACTTAGAAATTTCAGTAATGCTGTAAAAGGTAAAATATTTTCTTTGTTTTTCATCACAGCAATGACTAAAACATTAAAATCTGGGAGAACAGAAACAGCAACAGTTACGTAACCTACCTTTGTGAACTCGAATAATGAACGAGTGAGTAACTGAGAAGACGAGTCGACAGTAACCGTCAATCAAGTCGGCCATGTTTTCTGCAGTAGTCAGCGATACTGTAGTGACAGTGAGGGGCTACATACACACACACACACACGCACACACACACACACACACACACAGCGGGATCATTGTAAAAGCAGGACAGGGAGTTGCTTCAGAGAGCTTTACTTGGACTAACATCCAATACCACGGACAGCTCATACACCACGTTTTTCAAGTACACACCCCTGTTGCAAGATGAGCACATGCAGTGACTGGCTGCAAAACACACACAAGCACATGTACGTGAGCAACACACACACATTTACACTTAAAAGGAAATTTCAAGAGCTGCCTTTATAATCCCAGTTTTAATTTTTGTGCCACATCTTTTAATGGATCTGACTGTGTGGGAATACAACTGTAACTGTTCAACAAGCAGAACCATTTGTGTGTGATGCTCTCACACCCCCACCCCCACCCCCACCCAACACACACAGAGTTATTTTGCTCTTAAAGGACAGAACAGGGCTGTGACTAAGGTTATTTAAAGCCAATAACAATAAACAAGCAAACAAAAGTACAAAGCATAAGTACACCGTGATTTTGAAATGTTTTGGTGAGAGCATCGTCAAAAAGTTGAAAAATAAATTTCAGATGAATGACTACGTCCATGATAATTACCGTACACCACTACAGGGGTGGGGCGAGGGGACAGCCATGTTCTCAAATATTTTATTAGATCACCTTTAGTGTTGATTTCAACCCTAGTTTAAGTGAAATTATTGTAGGTTTACAACAAACTAAGTCACATCAATTATTCCTATCTGAAACTTAACTAATTGTTAGTCAAAAGTTTGTGTCAGGTCTCGACTTCCACTTGAAAAAATCCCAAAGTCCTGATTTAGGAGCAAGACGCTGATGACCACATGGTATAAAACATTTAAATTTTACAAGAACCTACTGTGTACTCTACATTAATTAACAAACAGGAGATGAGCAAACTGAATACACAATCCTACCTCTGGAGCTCCTGCTACGTTCAGCTGCAGCATACCTTTCCTGTCCTTCTCTTCCAAAGATGAGTACTGAATGGACTGGACTTGGTTAAAATTAGCTAAATGTGTTGGCTGCAGAGACAAAAAACAGACACAGACATTAAAAATCTGGCAGAAGGCAAATATTTTGGAAATATTCTTTGTTATATAGAGCCATGGATATGCGAGATCGTTTGGAGCACGGGAGGTACTTTTAAAGAATCTGAGCAGCAGACTCAATGAAGGATTTGTCTGTCAAAGTCAAGAATTTGAATTAATAATGAATAAATCTCAACAACTGAGTCAAATGAGCCAAGCAGAGCCGAAGAAAGCCAGCCAGGGGCTGCCATTGCTGAGCTATAATGCATATCTGTGTGTACAAACATAAAATACAAAAACTCTTAAGCTTTTGTGCTACTGCAATAAAGTTATACCTTGGGAGTCTCAGGTTTCAAGTAAATCCCATTGCAGCCATTGTTCAATATCTGCTTTTGTTTCTAGTTTCATCACAACGATTAATAAGAAGCAAATAGCATTTTAGAAAGAGAAGCTTTATCAGCATTAAATTCTGGCTGAACTGGATGAAAAGAAGCAGGGAAATCTTAAATGTTTTGTGGAAACTCGATACGTTGCGTTTCTAAAACACAAGAAACAAAAGATCAGTGCAATTCATCATTGATCACTGAGAGAAAGGAAACAAAACTCATGAAGAATTTACTCATTTCAAACAGAACACTAATTGGACAAAGCCAAAATGAGACACAAAAGGTTTTCTATTAGTAAATTAGGAAAAACAGCAGTGGTTTCTACATCCTTTTTGAGAGCAGGAAATAAAACCAAATACTTAAGATGTCATAGTGTTTAACAAAGCTGGAAGAAAAGCACTACTTATGAATACATTTAAATTTGGTATTAATAATAGAGTGTATATACAGTGGTGAATGAAAGAGAAAATTATGGATAAAAGTACACAGAAACACAGGGGGAATACTTGTTTTACAAATCAGAAGCTAAATCACTAAGACGTCCGAGGTAGGAACTGGTTTGTTGCAAGCTGCCTGTCTGAAGGACATTCGGGTCTTCAGCGATATCTGACCGTTATTATTTTCATACGAGGTTGTACTTCTGGAAAAAATAAATAAATAAAAAAGTCTGACAAAAGAAACCAGGTATATGCAACTCCAACGCTTCGAGTGAGTCACTCCTTAAGAAACAAACACAAACTCTTTCCTAAGGAGTGAGTCAGTCGAAGCGTTGGAGTAACATATACATGTTTTTTGTTTTTTGTTGTTCTTGTTACAAAACCGCACAATGCAATTATTGTATTTCCAGTTACATTATAGTATAATGACCACACACTGTGTTTTTATAGCACATTAAATTTGTATTATGACAAGCACTAGAAGTCTCTGTTGGAAATTCAAAATTCCTATGAAGTAAACAAACAAACCAGTAGAGGGCGGTAACGGCACGTATGACTTCCCAATTTAAAGGTCTTTGTAAGACTGTATTCAAACAGACAGACTGACATTAAGTTTGTGACAAATTTGTAAATGCACTCACTGTTGAGCCCTTATCTGTGAGGTAGCTTATTCCTTCCTCTGGTCCAATTGCCAACTCCACTGATATTACCCAACTAGACTGTAGGGGAGAGAAAAGACGAAGCGTGAAAATAAAAAAACAAAATTCATCAAACATCATGTCAAATCAACTCAATACTAGCAAAAATGTGTTTAAAAAAAAAAAAAACATCCAGTGGTTCTTTTTTTTACATTTAATGATGGTGTAAAGTTTACACAGTTAAAAACAGTCAAACTAGGTTCACAATACTAATGTGCAGAAGTAAAAATGTGGGGAAAAAATAGCTATTTCTAAATAGCTGTTACAAAAGGACTCATTTTTACATGACCTGTGCAGACTAAAGTGTAGAATAGACAAGAATAAATACTTTATTTATTCCAAGAGAAATTCAACATTCATTCAACCTTTATTTCTACAGCTTAGTCTCATTGAGTCACGAGGACTCATTTACAAGAGACTCGTTTTAGACAAAAAACATATAAAGTGCAGACAACAATAATCTACAACAAAATGCAATTAAAATAAAAGCAGTATTATAAAACTATCACTAAAAACAAGAACGTATTTGCTTTGTTTCTACTGACTTTAAACAAACTGTATAACACTTTAAGCTACACCTTAAAAAGTGATCTTGAAAAGCCCAGCTAAAAACATGTAAGAACTACCTTAAAGTTACAAAAAGCTACTTAAAAACTGTTAAAAATGATTTTTAACAAAGCTTCAAACATTACATAAGACATCCCACACAATGGCCTGCCACTTTCCAGAATAAATAAAACAAATAATAAATAAACCTAACCCTGCACCCTCCCACCAATCCAAGTGGAGAGGCTGTTCACCAAAACTGGTGTGATGCAGAAGCAAACTGTCACCGAATGCCTGATAAAACATCTGCAGCAGCTTTTTGCAGATGTTGAAGGACCTCAGGCTCCTCAGGAAGTACAGGCAGCTCTGCCCGTGTTTGCTGTCCAGTCCAGTCTGTCATCCAGCTGCTGTCCCAGGTATTTATAGGTCCTGACCACCTCCACATCTGCCCCACTGATGGACACCTGATGTCAGACTGGTCTGTAGTCTACGAGCTCCTAGTGGTGTTCCTTGTTGGGGAAAAGAACAATACGGGATGTTTTCCAGTGGGAGGGGAACGTCCCCTGCCAGAAGCTCATGTTGAAGATATGCAGCAGTAGCTCCCCCAGTTTAGGCGTTCAGCATCTGTGGACACACCCTGTGTGGGCCTGCTGTCTTCCTGCGGGGGCAGTTACCTCAGCTCTTTGTTGACCTGGTCCTTGGTGATGCAGGAGGTGGTGGGTGCTGCAATAACTTTATATTTTTCAAATCCATAGATTGTAGTGATATTTGGGTGGGGGGTGAATGAAGAGTTGCTGGGGGAGCAGGTGTTGATTGAAGATGCTGGGCAGTCAAACCGATTGAAGAACAGGCTGAATTGGTTTGCTCGTTCCTTGTCCTCTCCTCTGTGTTGTACCTGCTTCTCTTTCCTTGCAAAATGCATGGAGGTAAAAAAGCTGAATGGTTGAAAGATGCTCTTGGTGTGTCGGGACTGAAATAAGAACGGTGTGAATGATGTTGTGAAATGTGTGTGTGAGTGTTTAAAAAATTCAAGTCATAAAAGGCCAAATGGGTTCTGTTTATGTTCTTATCTTGACTATTTTTGTTGTACTGATTTCACTTTTTTTGTCATGAATCTCTAATAAATCAAACCTTTACCTCCAAAATAAAGGGGAAACAGATTTTAGTTGTGATGATTTAGTTAGGTTTAAAGTTGCTGAAAATATTTGATGCAGTGGAAGTTAAATAAAATGTTTACAGTACATTTTTAATGGACTTTTATAGGAGGGCACATTTGGGGCTCAAAGGTGTTAAGTGTAGTCATATTAACGGTACCTCAAGGGTTAAAGTCCCCAGTGTTGGCCATGAAAGTTGTGGTGTTGTGCCATCTCGCGATGACAGAAAGAATGACAACACGTGGTGTCGGCATGCACGCTCAGAGGAATGTAAACACAAACTACAATGGCATGGGAAAACTCTCTGGGGACGTGGTGCGGTTGGAGGTCCACCGCCAGCAGCTCGAGGTCTTTACTGCAGCTGGTCTCATCCACCACCACATGATCCAGGTTGCACCATTTGTTGTTGATAAACAGCGTAAGCCCCCAGCTTTCCTCTTGCTGCCGTGTTCAGTGTCTCTGTCCACTTTCACTGTGGTGGACTCTGGGAGATCCACGTCAGCATCAGGTGTGTTCTGGGTGAGTAGTTTCCGTCAAACACAGTAAGCTGCACGCTGTCGTTTCTGACGTTTGGCTGCCAGCTCGTCCATCTTGTTCATTAAACATTTCCCATAATAACCGATGGAACCGAGGGCTTGAACTTCCACCACTTTGCCCGTCTTTCACCTTGGCTCTGGCTGTGCAGCCTCGGTACATGTGCTTCATCTCTGTCGGTATCAGGTAGATGGTGCCGGTTTGACCCAGTGTTCACATAATAAGTAGCTGATTTCTTGTATACACAAGATTTCTGCAGACAATATGGTGTATAAAACATGTTGTATCCATAGGATGAAAACAAGTTTATAGCCAAATAAACCAAAAAAATCATCAAAATGCTAAAAACAACCCTAAAAACTAAAGACAAACATTCAACGGGACAGAGCTGCAGAACATGCTGCCACTAGTGTTGGCACAAAAAAAGTCAAGCTTGTCGCCTACTTTGAAAAATCAAAGAAATATGCTCATTTTCTCAACCCTTATTTCGTCTGAACATGTCGCTTAGACTTTGCAAATTTGTCACAAAGGCTGTATAAAAATAATTGCCTGTCTTTATATACCTTTAAAGACATGTTATATAGGTTTTTGTACTTCCTCACTGCTTCTGCAAGCTGCTCCTCAAAACTATTCATTGTACAAACTTCCACACAAGCAAAAAAAAACAAAAAAAAAAAAACAGGAATGCTAACATTTCCACTTTTAGGCATTAAAACCACCCACTACTTGAGATTTCAGACCAACCACAATAGTTTTTGCACACCACTGATAAAAGGTTCTGTGCAGATGTGTTGAGAACAAGCTGCAAAACCTCCCAAACTTGGCTCAGAATAAAAAAGTACTATCATTCCTTTCTCTGAGCACTTGGAGAGAGAATCGTTTTCTCACTTCTTATGTATGTATACATATGTACGTATGTGTGTATATATATATATATATATATATATATAT